ACTTCCACTGCCATATTCTGCTTCAGATAATTGCAAAGCTGTGATATATGTAAAAGAGTACTTGGATATAAGCAAAGAAGTCTATAGAAACAATATTGGTAAACAAACGTACTGAAACACATTGATTGCCCCCAGATGGATAGTAGCTTTGTTATGGCAAACCATAATCCTGTACGCTGATTATCAAATGCATCTAACTACCTGGTACAATCCATATAGGAGCATGTGAGAAACTGTAGGGTAAAAGTAGAGTGCATGCTTTACTTCTTAGAGCAATAGAGATATTGCTTATGGATGATAAGGAGTGAGATAGAGCTTGAGGAGAAAGGAAAAGAGAAGAGGGAAAAATATGAAAGTGGTTTGGTTTAGGTTCAGAAAGAAACCAAGAAATAAGAAACAAATAAAAGCATGAACTAGATATTCATTATCATTATTATCCCATACTACAATGGTACATGTTTCTTAAAATCTTCCAGACAAATATTCTAAAGTGTTAATGGTCTTTTAGGAACTAATGATGGTGAACAGCAAGGCCACTGGACAGAAAATTGAATTGCACAGCCATTGTGGGACTTATCAAAGGTCAGGCACTGAAATGGTGACATGTGGAGATTAAAGCATGAGGTTTCCATCCCAGCACCCTCATCTCACTACTGTATTTCATGTAAAATTTTCTCTGCTTCTTGTGGACATGCTGGCAGAAGCTGAGGAATGTAACAGAGCAAAGCAGTACAATCTGTTGGGGTATTTTAAATTATATTTGTCTGTTTCACCATTTTTTTAGGAAGATTGAGTAAAATTGCCTGCACAAATAATCTTGCTTCAGATTGTCAGATGGACAACTACGACTGTGGATCTGTATCAAAAATAGAGACCAAACTTTTGTTCCCCTTTTAAAACTGCCTTCAATATATATACACATAAACTTAGATATATATTTAGATAGAAATAGATCTAGTTTTGAATTCAACATTAATTAAATTATCATCTGTCTCCACTAAGCATCCCTCAGTGGGCACTCTCCCACAGATGATGTCTATTGTCCTGAGCTGAATTAAAAAAAGCAAGAACAAGTTAGTCACACAAACCAAACCATGCCATGTAACAGGAGCACCACTGCAGCCACACTTAACACAACAAACAAGCTCTGCTCAAGTGTAGTGCTGAGCAATGCAACCACATTAACCATTTCTGCTGACTGCTGCTGGCTGGGAGCACTGGACCACAGAGCTATCCCGTGAGTCTGTGAGCAAGAAAAGCTGCTTTCACACACTGAGAACAGTGGATTGCTGTAGCTAGCAGGAAGAGAGTTGGTGGTAAGGGTCAGGAAGAAAAACCTCAAAATGTGCTACATATCTTGGAGGTTTACAGAATCATCAAAACTCTTTTCATTATTAAGTGAGCCAGATCAGTCCCCTGATTGCCTGTGGTTTGTCTGTCATCATTTTCACATGTGCCATGATTACTTTGTAAAAAGCTGCCCATCTGAAAAGCTAACCCCTTTATTTGGGGGCAAGCTGATACCACATACTGTAAAAGAACAAGGAACAAACAGAATCAGTTTTCATCCTTCCAATGAAAAACCTAAATGGCCTTCCCCTCTTGAACTGTTCACATGAAACAGCAGGCACAAGGAACTGACAATTGCTCTCTGTAAGTTGCCAGGAAAATCTCCAGAAATTTCTTCCAGTTTATCAAAGATCTTTGTTTCCCATGCTAACCTATATCTGAACTAACATTTAAAAAAACCTAAAAAGGTTAATTATCATCAAGACTAATACATTATATTTAATTTAAACATCCAATGCCTGCTGGATCCCCATTAGAAGATATGCCATGACTGTGACAGAAAATATTGACTGCAATTTCCACACCCAGGACTGTGGTTGAATCTAATTTGCTGCGTGCTTTTAAGCAGTTGAATTGCAGTGAGACTTACTGGCATATCCATCAGGTGTACCATGAGCAGTTTTGCATTCAGCCACCAGTAGTATGTGTTAGTATACTTCAAATTCTCAATTTACTGTGGCCTATTGCTATTTAAACAGGTCTTGTACGTGTAGTTATAATGCTTAACTGCCTCCATAAAGTGTTTGAAGGTCTACAGGAAGAAAGGCTGTACGTCTCCAGGACTGCTCTGCACAAGCAAAAGGCCCATTGCATGGTCACCTGTGATTGCAAGGGATAATTTCTGTGACTCAAAGCATTCCTGGAACTTCCTCACACTTTTGAAAAAATATAATCATTTCTAGTAGTTTCAACAGGTAATCTGTGGATCCTGTTACTAAAAGGTAGTGCAAAGTGAGGGTCGGTATCTTAGTCACAGTGCTAGATTTTTAGAATAAGAAGCTAATGCTGTAAAACTATGTCCTAGAAATCAGCAATGGATAGTCAGCCAAATTCTGAGCTCACTGATAGTGCAAGTAACTCCAGTGAAGTAATTAAGTTATACTTGTCCCAGCAAATGAGATCAGCAATAGGCCCTCTCTAAACAGAACAGACCCCAGCTGGGGTTACTGTCACAGCACTGTTAAAATTACCAGTATAGTTTATGTTCTGCCTGTAGCTTGAGTTACAATGACAGTGTGCTGACAATTCTTTATCACCCAAGCAATTTAGATGATCAAGACAAGCCATTGATCCTCTCATACTTGTCTTTATTGTTTCTAAGGGTGCAATCCTAATTTAGAATGGTGAGTGGGAACCAGTGGCACATTCTTATCAGTGACACTGTCACAAACTCTTAGCGCAGCAACAAACTACTTCTTATAAACACTCCCTTCTCTCAGCTGGATTTTCAAGTTCCAAAGATGGAGCTTCACACAATCAGGAATATTTACTGTGGTTTGTCATCCCTGCAAGCTTACAGACAAGGTGTTCTGCTTCAAAAAAAATATTTATTTTGGTTACTTGGATTACTGCCTGGACAGGAAATGATAAAGCAGACGTCAGGGAGCCAGATGAGTAATAGAATAATTTCTAAGAGTGATCTGAGCTGCTAAGAAGATGACACTTGAGAGGTCAGAGGCACAAAACATTCCCCACTTTCTCTCCTTCTGCACTCGGAGCTTGAAGCACAAGCTGTGTGTGCTTCAGCCTTGTTGAGCTGGCATGATCAGTGCAGTTATTATTTAGATATATTCAACCATTATGAAGGTCTTCAATGGTGCCATTTTGATGGGGGAGGGGGTGGAAAGAATAGAGTTTTTTTAAAGATCAGAAAGTCAAAAGCAGGAAGATGTACTGCAGCTAGAGAAACTGTTTTGTTTACTGTTGGGCTGTTTGAGACACAGAATTACCAGAGTGGCTGAGAAACCATTAGCTACCTATCTTCTCCCCTGTGCACAGCTTGCACCACACAGCTGTGCAAACTTCCCCTCCCTCCTCCCTGCCTCCCACTTAGTGGAAAGCTGCAGCCAGGGCTGTACTGGTGCTAAGTGGATGTTGAATCATTATTTATGCTCCAGTGATAATGACAGCCCTTGTCTTGTCTGGATGGGGAGCCTTGCTCCTGTCCCACTGCTAGCCTCTGGCCAAATGACAGGAATTTCCTTCCTGTCCTGAGTCTCCAGCCTAAGATGGCAGGGCAGAAAAAAGGTGTGTGAGTGACCCTGCTGTTACCCCTCCTCCAGACCGGGCAAGTGGGGCTCCCAGACAAGAAGGAAGCAGCCTGAATTCACAAGTTGATGACAGGAGTGGGAGCCAGTGTTGTCTCAGTCCCCAGTACGACCACAAAACCATCTTCAAACAGAAGTTCACAAAACTGATAGCTCTTTATCCAGCTCTAGCTGGCCTAGGCTGCCTGCTCCAGGGCAATGGGGGCACGGACAGACCCCCATGCTGAGCAGCCAAAACCCAAAGAGCTTCGGAAGGTATGGCACAGCTGAAAGTAGACCCCAAAAGAGCATCCCACGCCCAGGGCTTGTCACACAGCAGGCATGCAGTGACAGCTGCAGTCAGAGGGCTTCTGTAACAGCACTGCCACCACATTAAAATGTCTTCAGTGACTCTGCTTCCACCCCCATACCTTGCAAGTTATCTGTAGATAACAACTTGCAGTCTTTCTGGGGGCACTGTATCTCACGCTGAAAGCTTTTTTTCTTAAGCAAGCACAGAATATGTCTTCATTTGCTTAGCTAAAAAGTGTGTCTGATGCAGAGAAACTACCCAATTTCCGGATGAAGCCATCTCACAGCCAAAGACTGATACTTTCTACGGAAGAAAGATGCTGCCACCTTGGGACCAAACAGAGGGTTAGCTGAACTCCCATAAAGGTAAAACTTGCTCTGAGAAACGGGCAAGCAAGGAAAAGGCAAGAAATAATAAAGGTGTTGATGATGTGCTAATAATACTTATTTACATCCAACATTCACCTTTGAATTGTAAGGAAAAGAGGAGAATAAATGGTGACCGTGCTTCCATGAAAGCTTAATATCTACTAGTATTTACTATCCTGTAAAATGCTCTTTTCTTATAAATAAAGGCTTAGAAAATGCTTTAGAAAAAGCGCATATTGGTTCTGTGTATCGCCACTTTCTGTTGCAGTAAAAGACAATAGAAATGAGCAGGAGAATTGCAGGAAACTAGAAATTAGTTGCTCAGCTCAGATTTGGGCTAACACATGGAGCTCAACATGTTTTACTGTTCATTACAAAAACAGCATGGATTTCTTAATAGATATAAATTACATGAGCATGATCAAGGAGAAGAAAAATGTAAAAGGAATTTTCTCCCTAATAAACCATGGGAAAACCTGTTTTTTCATCCCCACCTCAGAGAAACTCCCTGAAATCCTCTGGTATTTGTATAGTTTTTAGGGATCTGGCAGAAACTCAGGACTCCTCATGAGAATGCCATTTCTCTCAGCTTTGAGATCTGACTGCCCTTCTCTGCCAGCTTCATGGCAATGTGACTCCTTTGGAGTCAGCTTACCAGTCAAAAGAGGCTTACAGAGCCATCTCAAAGATGAGATTTTGAAAAGTAGAGGGCACACAGAAAACTTAAGGAAGCTTCTGGCTATATTTACTTTGCTAAGTATTTGCACTGCGTGGGATTTCTGTGTACACCTGGATGCATTAGCCCACACAAGTCTCTCTTGCGGTTGAAGGTAGCAGAAAGTACGGCTGCCAAGCTGCGTAAATCAGGCAAAAATGAAGTAATCAGCAGTGTAGATGAGCTCAGCTTATGCCACAGGTGGTCAGGAGCTCAGAGTCCACAAGATGGTACTCACAGCATTGTCCAAAAAGGAGCTGCTACCTCAATCCCAAACACTGCTTCCCAGCAGGGTCAGAGCACGGTACTTAGCTGTAAGATCAAAGCATGCTGTTCTGTGGCTCAGCACAGTCTCTGCCTTCCAAAGAAACACAGCCAATTTCCAATACTGGGTTTCCTTCTGAAAATCAGAAATGTATCTGCAGCTTCAAGCAAGGCCTTGCCAAAAAAAAAAAATAAATAATAATAATAACATGGACACAAATACATTTATAAAAGGCAGTATTTCTTGTTAGCAGGGTTTCTTAATGATGACTTTAACTTGTTCTCAGACTTCAGTTATGCTGAAAAAAGTTAGCATAGCAAAGATCAGGCTGCATGGAAGTCTGCACCAATCTTTTTATGTGCAGGAACACATCAAAGGGCTTCAAGGGGTTTAATAATGGAACTATGACAGCCTGAAGAATAAACAGAATTTGAGTGGACAGATGCACAGGACTTAGAGCTTAAACTAGAAGTCTGCAACTTGCTGAAAGGAGCCAATATTAAAGTAATTATGCACTTAAAACAATTACTATTTATTCTTCAAAGAGTCATAGTCAAGTGAAGTAACCCATTTTAAATTATTTCTGGTAATTGCATTGCATCCCCAAATTATATGCCTGCATACTCTTTGAACTAGGCTTTCAAAAAAAAAAAGCAAAACCAACCTGCCAGTGTATTTTCTGCTTAAAGATTACCCCACATCTTGAATAATTCCACTGTAGTTTATCATTTCCTGCAGGCATAATATAGGGTGTTAAACCTGAGTAAATCTGAGAAATTTTAGTTTCTGTATCTAGGCCAGAAGTCAGTTTAACAGTGAACAATTGCAAATGCCTAAATTGTTCACTTACCATTAACTTTCGATAATCTGGAAAATTCTATAAAAGTATCAAGGCATTTCATTTAAAGCTGTGGTAGCTCACCAGCATATAATTGCACCCAGCAAATTGACTGAACACAAAATTAGGAGAGATCACTGTTCTGCTTTAGATAGCATAAAATAGCTTTCCATTCAGTAACCTCAACATGTAAAATCTGATTTTAAATAGTTCCCAGGGCACTCACAATTTCTACTAAGATGTAATCACATTGTTCTTGTGTAAGAATCTAGGAAGTTCCATCAACTAAACCTTCTACTCATTTTCTGGGACAGTGGTGGGAATTTTACTTCTAAGTTTACTTAACATAGTTTATGATCAGTCTGTGGGGATATTTCCACTTCAGAATATGTCCTGCCCATATTTATGGACAGAGGCTAATTTTGAACTTGCCTACTGCAACACTGCTGGCAGTGTAATTGCAGCACAAGGCTCAGTACAAAACATGGGAATGACCTCTAAATATATACTGGATCATCTTAGAAGGTACTTCTACATTAGTTCTAGGTCTGTTATAGAATTTAATTAATATGGACATAAAGCTTAAATATCTGATAGATCCTAGACTTCTTTAGGATCTGGTATATCCTTATTAGGATTTATTTTCTTAAGTAATTTCCTGACATAAAATCCTTCAAGATCAACCTATTTCCAAGTGTATAAGCAGATGCAGACTGAAATAAATTCATAAATATGGACTGAAAATTTGCAGACAAGGTTATAAGGGTGGATAATGTACAGAAGATTCTTTGTGAAATCTAAAACTTCTATACTGTAAATAAATGGATTAAGGCCCTTATCACCACAGGAAATAATTAACATGTTATTGCAATGATTTCCAAAAAGTGAAGCCATGCAATGTCAGGTGTGCAGTTTAAGAACAGTTCCTTCTGTTACATCTTTGATTTTGGACAGGAAAAGATTTCTTTCTCCTAGTGCAAAAAACGTGCAGTGATGTCGTGCTCTAGAGCACGTGTTTATAATTGATGAATATAATTGCTTCACTCTGACTGTGTGCACTTAGTAAGAATATTGTGCCCTTATCACCACAATTTCAGCCCTGCCATTTAGTCATTTAAGCATCCTTTAGGCTTATTTCCATAATTGCATTACAAGAAGAATCTGTGTGAGTGTGAATCCCCTCTTAAGTGAAGATAAAAGTATTTGTAGAGCATACCAATATCCTTTGCATACAATCAAGAAATCTGCTTTTCACTGTCAGCTGAAGGAAAGAGGATGGCTTCTGCAGCCTTCTCTCCTCTCCCTGTCTGAAGAAAAACAAAGCAAAAAATGTGAGTCTTGAATTGCTCAGTTCAGCATTTCTGCTAATATCTTGAGCTGTCTCAAGCAAATGTGTGCATTAGGGTTCAGCCTAGCTTATTTTGTATGCCAAGTGAGATTCAGAACAACTCATGTGCAAGAAAAACCCCTTTACTCCAAGGCCAGTAACTGATGCAGCTCACTGTTATCATTAAAATATTTTAAAGAAAGCTGACAAATATCCTTGCTCTGTGAGACATGTAACAAAATCTTCACCCACCTGAGAGCCACAAGACATGCCCCACAACGTTTAAAGTGGTGAAGAGAAGGAGCTCCTGGAATAGATGACAAATGGGACAGGGTAATGGTTCCACAGGGCAGTGCTGCCGGAATAGGTTGGGAGGCTGGGAATGCCACTACATCCCCATAGTGCCCACACAGTCTTTGCTGAATAGCACTTGACTCATTTCTTCCATTAGTAAAAACAGAGATGCCTTGGATGTGCACCTGAACTATGTATGAAACATGCTGCAGCTCAAAATCATGCAAGTGGACAGCTTCTGTTTTAAAATAAGGGCAAGACTTGGCTTTAGGGTCAACTTTTTCAGTGCTTAGAAAATTCTTTTAGAAGTTTTACTATAAACAACTTGAAAAACAGAGATTCCTTTGATTTTTTTTTTACCCAAAAAAAAAAAGAACAATTTTTAAAATACAGTCTCAGCTCCCACTTTAAAAAGCTATTTTTCTGCAGGATTCTTCTGGAAGAAATATTTTAATGGATACATACTAATAGGAAAAAACACACATTCTAGTCACTTTATAGTCAGCTTTCAGAAACAGCAATTTTTATGTCTTTACAGACACAGATTTTTGAAATTAATGCATTGTGATGACTATGGTTAGAATACAGATGTGTTGGTTCTAAAAAATGCATTGTGAAAAGTGCTTCATGTTACCCATACCCAGTGAACTTCTTTTGCCAGCATTTATAAGATAGATATTTAAGAATTATTTATGAGCAGAACCTTTCAATTTTTCTACTCCTATGTGATATATGCTCATGCCACATCCAACTTGAGAAGCTAAACATAATCCCAGGCCAGAGTGATCTTTTCAGAATTTCTTATCAAAAACTGAACCTCATCAGCTGAAACTGAGTTGCTTGAAATAGTACCTCCAGCCTTGGTAGGTAAGAGGTGAGACAGGTTTGTCAGGGAACTCCAGGAAAATGGGCTTGCGACCCTACTGTTCCTGGCTGGAGAATAATAAATGTTCTCACAAGTAGCTGCCTTCTCACACATTCTGACGCACTGTCTGACACCAACAAACTTGAGCTTCCCTGTCTCTAACACAGATAAGCTGAATTAGGGACCCAAAGACATTTTGTCAAGAGCTTGCTGGTGTAGGTGATTGACTTCTTTGCCTCTACCCAGAAGTTGCCTTGCCTCTCACTCACACAGGACGTAGGAAAAAAGCTCCATTCCCTGAAAGCCAAGCTGTGCCTTTTTTCCCTAATCCGTTCTTACACTAAAAGCAAAACAGAACAAAGCCTTTCCTGTCTTTTTATGGGAAGTTTTCTACAGTAAACAGTAATAAAAATCATAATATTTTCTAATAAAATAAATTAGTTTGCAGATTCCGAGTTTGCTGTCATACATTCTGACACAATTTGCCACCATACTGTCACAGTAAACATACACCAAACCTATTTATTGGCAGATCCTCTTTTTGGGGATCAAAGCAGTTTTAGAGTAAGAAAAAAAGATCCATTAACTAAGGCCCATTAATTTCAACATAGGAATATTTTTTGATTCTTAAACAGGTTTCAGAACCACTCACTCCAAGCTGCATGTGCCATACCAGACATGGCTGAAGCATCTTCACTCAGCTTGGAGATACAATTTTCTACTTTGCTTGTAAGAATATTCTAAATATTAAGAGAGAAGCTGTCACTTACAGCACATTTCTCTGGGCCACAGCCTATGAAGATCTTGTCAGTGAAAAGCACAAAGCAGTTTTTTTGTGCAGTAGCTACAATGCAAGCTATTCCTGGCTCCTGTTGGTAACAGTGCCTCCACGGCCACCATGAGCTGAGATGACACTGAGAATTTGAGTAGATTATAGATGTATCATTAAACGCAGTGTGAAGAAAACAGACCTTCAGCCACCTAGCCACCTGTATCCATTCACACACTCAGGCATACTGAAATCACAACTCCCAGGAGTTTTCCAAAGTCACAAACATACCGCTTTGGAAGGAGATTGTAGCTGCATTCTGCCATATGTGTAATGGAACAACCAAACAACTGAAATAACCAAACTGCTACATGAAACCTTAACGAAATATTAAGTCCTTCAACGCTATCCAGTCATTCCATAAACATTTTTAACTACAGCACTATCTAAAGAGTATAATTTAGGAAACAGTTTAAATTTTACCTTGCTGTTGGCTTTTTAAGAGCATACTTTAACATAAGATTTATAAAATTGCTCATGAACTTTCAGAGCAAAGAATGAATAATAACACTGTCAGGAACAGGATTTATTTTTTATCTAAGTCAGTGCATTAATTACAGATTAATATTGTGCTGTTATCTTAGCTGAGCAGAACAGAGTTCAGCCCATGAGCACATGTCTACCAACTTGGTAGATATACATAGTTACTGAAAGCATGTTCTAGATCAATGACATTGATCAACAAACCAAAAACTGAGTAATTAAATTGTTATTTACCTGAGGCTGCAGTCATACAGCTGTCTGAAAGAGCAGTCTCATCCCTGTGAGAGGCATCAGCAAGGAAACAGATACAGATGATAACTCTGGATGCCTTTTTACACCTGGATCAAAACACTCCAGTCAGAGGCACTGCTTTCACCTGAATTTATCTCACACCTTCAGAGCTGGAGCTACACATACAGCAATTAGAATCAGAGTCCTTCACAGGATGTGTGCATTTCATGATTGCTTTAACAGCTGATTTTTTTTTTAACAATTAAATGCCTTGACTTTCTAAGTGGATTCTCGGTTTTCAGTTTCTTACAACAAATTAATCAGATCACTTACAAATTAACAGATCATTTTACTCCTCATGGTGCTTTATTTCACTTACTGAGTTTTAATTGCTCTTACTAAGCAAAAGATACTTTTTTTATTTTGATTCCATCCAGGAAAACTAAAAAGTAACCTTAATTTGTTTAATTTCCTTACAGTCAGTTTAAAAAGTGGAGTAGATGAGCCTGATTCCTTCTTCCAAACAGTATTAGGAGTGCCACACATTGTGGCTGTAGGAATGCTGGATGAATGCTCTTTGAAAGTTTTTGCTCCGAATCTGTAACAAGGCCCAGCAATGGCTCCTTTCCAGCAACTCCCTATCGTATTCCATCCTGACAGCCATTTCCAGATATATCTACAGCTAGGATCTAACACCAGGGAACAAGAACAAAAAAGATACTAGAAGATTAATGATCTTTGGCACTAGATCACCATAATCCCAGCGTCAGTCACGATAAACAGAAACACATGAACAAAATCAATATACGATGTTGGCCCAGTCACTGAATATGCTTTCTATAAACTTCAGAAGAATAGCATGAGGCTAACTTGGGCCTCCAAGAACCACCCTGAAAATAAACTAACAGCATATTCAAGAATCTTCTCAGAGTGCCCCTTATGATGAAGAACTTCCTCCATAATGATCTGCTCCCACAAGGAGCAGTAAATGCTCTTCACTTGATCAAGGAACCATGGGAGAAGGTGTTTTTTAGCACAGCTGACATGTCTGAGGGATGCTTTCCCCATGTTCCATCCAGTCTGCCCTCACAGAGAAGCTGTGGGTGTGCAGTACCTGATAATGCTCCACACCTGGAGTTCCTCTGAGTAGCCAACAAACAACCTCACAGATGTCTGCAGAGACCTCAACCCCTGCACTTCTGAGATGTAACACAAAAAGTAACCAAGATAAAGTCTGGATACACACTGGGTAACTCTGAAATTTTAGTTAAAGCAAAGGCTTTTCTCCAAATTTCTGCTCTGTTGGTCTCAGATGTATGAATGGTGCCAGAACTGAAACCCATTTATTGACACCCAACACTAAAAGACTTGAAAAGCGTAATGGTTACATACAAATGTACCTCTGGGCTGTGTAGGTGCTCAAACCCAGGCTAAGGACCCTTTGTTAGTAAATGGGATAAAATTTCACCGCTGGAATGAACTCACTAGGAAATTCCAAAGTATGCCTTAGCAATCACAGATTTTTTTCTTGCATCAAAGGTCTCAGACCATAAAAGGCTTCTGACGTACAAGAAAAAAGAAAAACTAATTAAATTGTATGGGAAATCAGAACGATAGGTGGCCTAATTATTCCAAATTAACCCTGCCCAGGAACTCACACACAAGGTGAATATACACAAACAAATCAATGTTGTGGACAGTTTATTCTACTTAAGACAGAGGCAAACAATACAATAGAATTAGTGGCACTCTCATCCTGCTACAAAATTAAAATCCAAAAAATTACATATGCTGGACATCCCCCCAACACACTTCTTCCTGTGATTCACCTTCTCTGTTAAGCATTAAAACAAACTTTTTCCCAAAGCTTCATGGTTGCTAGGCCTGTTCTTTAAGATTTCCTCCTTTGGGATGCTTGATCCTCTTTGCCCTTCAACCCCTTTTAGCTCCAAAACTGGAGTTACACAAACACACGGGTGTGATTTCATTCAGACAGACAAAATTGTAGGTCTTTTATATCAGCTTTTATATTCTGGGCAGTTGCAACCTTATCAGATGCTAATTCTGTGTTGCTCAAGAGGAACCAAACTGCAAAGTCTTCTCAAATTAAGTTAATGAGGAGGTAATACCGTCAAGCAAAACCAGGAAGGCCACACATTCAGCCTTGCAAGAGATCAGCTTCTGAGCTGCGTCCTCTTTGTCCACATCTCACTGAAAATGGACTAGTGTACGCCAAGGGTGGGAAGTGGGATTAGGTGGTGCTCTACTCTGCTTAGTCAGGAGTTTCTTATCTGTCTTGGAAGCAGGCATTTTTACCAAGTAAATCTCATGATGACAGAGAATAAAATCCATCTAATTATATATTGGCATCCTGCCTTATGCGTGTCCCAGAAAGATTATAAATTAATCTTGTAATGGCATGCCAGGCTTCAACAAGAATTAATGGCCTAGAAAGAAGGGTGGTTTTCTTATGATGTAGTAAAGCTTACCCCAGGGGAAGTGTGCCCCTTTTTGCTGTGGGATGATAACTCAGTTCTGTCTGCCTGTACTATTAGTGCAGAAAGAACATAAAGCACCCTGTACTTTACAGCAAATCATCTTTTGCTGGCAGTTGTTACCTGTTGCATAGGAAAATCCTGTGTGGTTTTAATTCATATAAGAAGCCAAAATACACAACTGGTGTGTGCATATAGGTATCTCATTTTAGTTTCATGTGCCTGAGACTAGTCAAATTGGAATTAAGCTAGAGGAAATTTCCACAAAGTGGTCTAATCCTGCAAGTGCTATCACCAAGAATACCTGACAAGCACTTAGCTGGAAACAGCACTTACATATAGAAAGAGACATGAAGCAGTAATTTCTCAGGAAAATAATAATTTAAAAAATCTAGTTATGCAGCAATTTTGAAATATTTATAGAACTTCTTTCCATACTACACAACTGCTCACAATACCGGTTCAGTAGGCAGACCACACAAAGGAAAACATAATTTGATTTTTTTTCCCTATCAGAGTTAATTCTCAAACATTTTTAGTGTTTCTGCTGTGATTGGTCTAAAGTTTAAGCATTTCCAGCAGTGATAACTTTTAATGCTTTTAAAAGTGGACTGGGTTGCAGACAGTTTATAAGTATATGTAGGGATTACCAGCACACCTGCTCAAGGAAACCTTCATATATTGTTTCCAGGTTTAGCTGCTCAGTGTGTTGAGTACCTTCTCTCTAACTCCAGCGTGTCTCACACTGCTGCCTGCTGGGCCCTTCCTAGCATGTCCTCTGAGCCAAGCTATGGAAGACACTTTGCTGGTGACTAACTGCTCCAATTAAGTTGCTTTTCTTTTTTCCCCTTGTTTATTGACAGGAAAATGAAGAGGTGGACCAGTGACCTAACACCTTCATAGGACACCTTGCCTACTTTCTATTTGAAAATAAAATTACCACAGATTATAATTGACACACACAGGACAAATGACAACTTTTTACAAGAGTTAATGCACTGACCTTTTACCATTGCTGTTACTTTTTAAAATTACCTCAATGATATTTCAATAAAAGCAAGATCCTGGGGGCAAGACTCAAATTACATGTAATGGCTCTGGTTTGCCATTCTCTAGAGAACAGTGGATTGCCTCAAAGTAAAGAGAGGAAAGTATTTGACCAGCATGCTAAAGGAAGGTGGTGTGATTCTAAGTTAGTGACAACTTTTTTTTTTTTTTTTTAAATCTTGGCAGCATTATCTGTGCTAAATCTTATGGGAAAGCCATATATACACATAGTATTTGCAGGAACTATATAGTATTATTTTTCTGGGATATAATCATAGTAGATTTCCCTCCTTTATATTGATGACTGTATCTCAAAAATCCCCCATACCTTTAAAGTCTTCCAGTTTTCCAAGTGTTTATGAGATTACTACCTGCCAACCCCATACAATTAAGTAAAATCTTGTCTGGAAAAATCAAATACACAGTTTAAAGAATACAGTGTGAACACCAAAGTGAATACATCAGTGAATAAGTGAGTGTAATCAAACTGGTACTAGGAATACTGTCGCCTTTCTTTCTATTATGAAATCTGTGCCTCCAAATCCATGTAAGTGAAGTCTAAAAACACTAGACTTTTCCTATAACTACAGATTTTTTTTTCTGTACTCAAAATGGCCATAACTTAATATGTTAGCTTTTTGCTTTGTAAGAAAGGCTTATCCTGCTTGTAAAGAAATATTCAGGAGTTTTCTGCTTTGGACCAACAAAGTTTCTAACCTGTAAGCTGCCACATTTTCAAGTATTACTGAATTATTCTGATTTATATGAAGGGAAGAAGGAGGAGAACATATGGTCATCTTCAAACTTTTATATACAGAATCACCCTAGCAAAGACATAGATGAATTTGTTTTATAAAAAGTTTGCAAATTGTTTTGAATACTCCTGTAATCATGTTTTGCTATTTTCATGGTATATACTCAAATAAAGGATTTTAGGGCAAAACTTAAAGTATTTTTTGGTGGTTTTAGGCTACCTAATCTAATTCAAATGTAATTATTTTTTTTCTTTCTGTGTAAGATGATAATATCTCACAGAAAAGTGTGTCTAGAACAATCAAAGCGTACCAAGCAGGTCAAAGCCTTGGTCTTTTCATCCTGTAAAAGAGGTAATGGAGACAGAAAAATGAGAAGCACCTAAATAATCCTGAAGCATGGCAGCAAGACAGTGAACAGGGAACAATTTTTCAGTGTGCCTCATATGACAGGAACTAATAAACATCAAGCAGCTGGTACAAACAAGTAAAGGCAGATCTTTTCTCACACACAATATAAAACTGAAATTCATTGCCAGGGGATATTGTGGGTGGGAAGAAAAATCCATCAAAGGCTATTAAACACTAAGATATCACCTCTGGCACAGGAAATCTCAGAGCCATAGATCACTAGAACCTGAAAACTGTGAAGGAGGGAGACATAACAAAATAAAATGGCTGTATAGCTGATTATTCTTCCATAACCATCTGCTACAGCCACTGTCAAAGAGCAGATGCTCCTTGATACAAAAGACAGGTCCTTAATCTGAACAAGTGAAAAGATATTTATGCCATTATATATGAGGCAAGTTG